TTTAGAAAATAATATTTTAAATCTGAACTAATAGAAAATTTCAAACAAGCAATTTTCTCTTGCAATTTTTATGCTTTTTATTGGTGTAAATAAGGAAAAAATACTAAAATATTAAAACCGGATTTTAGAAAGTTTTGTTTAAAATTCTAAATAGTGCTGTTTTTTAAAATTATAGATGAGTATTATAGCACAATTTCTATAAAGGAAATTTTATTTTCAATTATATTTCATAATACATCATAGTGATAAAGACATTTTGTCTTCTTAAAATTATTTATACATTTAATTCTAATATTAAAATTGTATTTAACTGTAAAATTAATTTTGCTTGTATTTTATAGTGATTATTTTTTTTAATTTATTTTTAGTTTCTGCATAAGTTTTTATTTTTTTTTTTTTTTTTTGTTAATTTAATTTATTAGCCCAAAGGGGAGGTAGCCTAGAAAGGCTGTTAGTTTCGATGCGGCATTTTGCGCTCTTTTACTATAAATGTCCGTATCTCCTTGTAACTTGTTACCAAATATTATCGTCCTATATTATATGTAAAGAAATTAAATAAAGAATCTGCATGAATACATGTATGTTTCTCGCACTGTGGAAAAAACGACAGACAGTACCTAGAGCCATCAAATTTTGAATAATGTAATCCTCCACCCGAACATGGGCAACAATCTTGGCTGCCCCGCCAAGTGAACTAAATCACACTACGGATCCACTCCCCCTTTGGGCTCTTCGTGGAGGTTCAACCTCTACTATTACGCTTCCAAGGGAGCAGCGCACCACCTGGATACCACACCAGGTAGCACTGGTCGTCAATTGCTCCTGCCAGTCGCATGAGCGAGCCCGTCGCAGTGGGCCGTTACGACGTGCCCAAAGGGGGAGTGGACCTGTAGTGGGCTTAAGTTCCCGGACCAGGGCAGCCAAAATCCTCCACCCATCTGGAATTTCAAATTTGTTTTAATCTATTTAATATTTTGTAAAACTTTAACGAATTTTTATTAACAAACTCAAATAGTTCAAAGCGAGCACTGTACGGAAAATAATTTTATCTACAGTGCGGAAATTCTAAAGATATGCTGTATGTGGAAGAACATGACATTCAATAAATATAGATAACGCAAAAAACTTTAAAAAAAGGTTCATTTTGGGCGTAATGTAAAATCTGTGTGCTTCTAGATTTTATTTTATCTTTTTTTTTCCCTTCATTACACTCAGAAAATTTTATGCTGCAAATTTTATAAATTACTAAAATAAATAATCTACTTTAATGTTAATAATTTAATGATGCTATAATCAAATAAATAATCGTTTTGTAATGTTATTATAATTTTGAAAATTATTACCTGAAAATGTTCATTAAATTAAAAACAAATTATCAGATCTTGTTTCATTTTACGTTATTTATTTCAAAGCATCACGTACTATCAAGCTTATTTAATTTTACGTTATTTGTACGCAAAATTAAGTTCATAAATTTTGTGTTTTTACCGTTTTACCAAAGTAAAGATGTTTGTACAAGAATTACCGTGAAAAAAATGTGCGAAATGCAGTTAAAAGGACTTTAATGAGATATATTAAATCCTATTCGGAAAAAACTGTGGCTTTCAGAATCTCATCACTATACAACATATTACATTTAATAATTAAAAAGAGTTATGTGATACCAAGGAGGTTAGAACTCATGGAGATGCCCTCCACGCAGTGCAAGTGAAGCCAAAAAAGGGGGGAAGCATGCCCTTAGTAGTCGTGGCTTAGAAAGATTGACGTGCTCTAACCACACCCAATCTTGTTCCTGGTAGTCGTAAAAGATCGCAGATTCTTCACGTCCTGTTTCCCTTACTTTTCTCGCCATTTCATTTTATTTCTAGATTATGTAATTGCAATAATTTCTACTTTATGTAATTGCAATAATTTCTACATTATGTAATTGCATTATGTAATTAATGAATGCTAGCAATTAAAGTATTGTGAACACAGAACAGTAACTATGTACTCAAACTATTATTTGATTATAATTTACTTATTCTATGTATATATAATTCTCAACTTTTTCATGTTATAAATATTACTTATATTACGAAAAAACTTAATTTGAATAAACAATGATAGAAATATGTAAACTTTAAGTTGTTATTTTAAAACTCACACAACAAATGTGACTAAAAATCAAATTTAGTTATTATATATCTTCTTGAGCACAAAATAAAATGTAGTTAAACACCTAAAAGGTAAGACCTGTAAAGTAATTATGATCAGACATTAAAGTAAACTGTTTTCTTTCCCATGGAGAGCTAGCCACTCCACCTCCCCCATGTTTTTTTACTTATCGTTTTGTTATCACATATAAGTTAATTACGAATATCGCTTTTATTATTATTATGAAAAGGTAAATCTGAGAACTATATATGTTTCTTCTTCGTGTACTTTACAATAAGAAAATACTCAGACTCTTTCTTGAAGGCCATTGAAACACAAGTTTCGATTATTCTACTTGTGTATGCAGGTTCTAAAACATTCTTTTACATGGGCATGAAGTCGGAAATGTAGACATTATTTCGCTGTAACAATTCAGTGTCTTTTAGATCTACGCATACAAAATCAGAAAACCCACTGAGAACTTGAAACCAGCTGGCGTTTTACCTCACTTCGCTTAGTAAGGTAATCGTTTTCTTGCCCTCACGTGGCGTGGCTTATTTCCTTCACCCTGGCTTCACTTTCTTCGTAATGCATTAGCAGAGACGCCATCTCCATCTATTCTAACCTCCTTGCGGAGGGTGGATAGCTTTGGAATGGTTTGCCCCTTTAAAGTAAGTTTCAGGGATATACATAATGTGTCTCTTCGGTCTGACGGAGCCACATTTGCTCCGCGGAACCTTTACTTCTTTTTAGAGATTCTTTGGCTTAAGTATTTAAGTTGTAGCTTTTCACCAAGAACAGGTTAGGGAGAGAGTGAACCCTCTTTCCACTTACTTTCACGCGTGCTTTCAATGAGTTTCTGTCCGCCTTTAAGGCCAGAGGTTTAGTCCTCTTGATATCTAAGACGTATTGTAGTTTTCCGCAGTTTGCGTTCTACATACGTAATAATCTGAAAGGCTAACCTTAGTGTTAGTCATCTGTGTAAAGTATTCAAAGTTACATCTTATTTAAAATTAGTTAGTTAGTAGTTCTTATATTTTTTACTTTCAGACCACAAGTGTCTTTGCATCCCGAAGTGCGGGAGCAACTGTAATATCGTGGAGAATAAAGTGTAAGGTTAACCCTTCTTGCTTGTGTCGTCCATTCCACACATACACGAGCATAGCTTGAGTAAGCTCCGTGCTCCCATTCAGGACATTAGATGTTCCCTAAGCAGATTAGAAGTTCCCTAAGCAGATTAGCAGTCCTGATACCTTTATGCTTTTTTCTGACAGGGCTTACAAAAGTGGTTGTACAGTTCAATATCATTACGTGTAACGTTTTTGTGTTTGTTTGAAAGTTCTTTTAACATTCTGTCACGTCGTCCATGCCTAGTACTCAAATAAGTTTTAATGAAGTACGGGAAATAACTCAGCGTTCGTGACGTAATACTACATTGTACTGACGCTTTCTTTAATAGGATAAATGAATGTAATTTTTTTTTTTTTTTTTTTTCCACAAACGTCACACCCTAGCAATTTAGCAGCCAGTAGTCCCGTGATTTCTTCTTAGTAGTCATTTCGGCCTTTTTACATCTAGGGCTTAATTTCTAAAATTAGAAGTGCCGGAGCCCTATGGAAGACTGTGAGGAAGGGAAAAAAAAAAAAAAAAAAAAAAAAAAAAAAAAAAAAAAAAAAAAAAATGAATAAAATAGCTAAAAATAAAATAATTAAATAATAAATTTAAATTCCGATTAATATTAATTTAATTGATTAATTAATTAATTATAATTAAGAAAAATGTAAGGATATAAAGAGAAATCTAATAAATTATTAAATTAATTTTAAACAGTTAAATAGAAAAAAAAGTATCGGACCTCGTCTTATTTGGGGCATCGGCTGGAATTACAATTTCCCTTAGATGCTAAGAAGCATCTCAGCCGATCTCCATCTGAGTTTAAGCCCTGATTGTACGCATAATGTACTACTCCAAGGGATGTTTGTCCCTCGTTGTTTGAAGCCCACCAAGAAAAAACATAAAACGATTAAAGCTGCACTAAGGAGAATAGTGAGAATTCTAGAAACAGTATGAGGATAACGGAAAAGTTTAGCTTTGAAAATAATGAGGGAAGAGTTCAAGACTTTCTGATCGCGATGCCCTGTCGATATAATTCTAGCCGTCAAGGAGAAAGTTTTCCTGAATAAATTTTCCTGAATACAGCGTGAGAATAAACGTAAGATTTCTCTGTGCAGTGATAGCAGTGGTCCCCTCCCGTTTGGTTACATCATTCAGAAAGTTTACAGTAGTTCAGCATTAGGAAGTCATTAGCGTGGAACGTTCACAACAGGGTATTACTTTTAGTTCTTTGGGGGGGGGAATACAAAATTTACCCGCCCACATAAATTCAATGCGTATCCTGGAGAATAAGCCTTTGACATATGACTGGGGGGGGGGCTTTTCTTTCCTTAAAAGTCTCAACCTCTGTGCAAGGCTTGATTGCGAGGGAAAGACAGGCCTGCGTTTAGAAATTAAAATTGATTTTTAAGGCACGTTCATTATTAAAACCCAATTTTATGTGCTAAAATTGTGGTTCTCTTACATAAAAGAAGTGCAGAGCCCTTTTATTTAGGGCTCCGGCTGAAATTATGATTTATCTGGAAAACCGAGTAGTATCGGCGCAATTTAAGCTCTGTTTACATAATTTATTAATTTCTGGTAAGTAGCTTGGTTCTTGGAAACGAATTAGAAATGTGTTTCATACTTAGCCAGTTTGTCACTTGAAATTCTATAGAATGCCTAGTAAATGTGTGAAATATGAATCGCTTCATACAATGCCGGCTAGTTTTAGGCATTATATACAAACTTCGGTAATATATATATGTATTTTTTTTTATAATTTTTCAGCCCATTTAGACTCAGAAAAATGCACACTTGATCATTTTATGGCTTTGACGTTAATCATTTCTGAAATCGATATACGACAAGAGTCTGCGCAAATTTATGGAGCTCATGCTATTTTGGATCTGAAAGGTTGTAGTTTGCTACAATTAGGTCAACTTGCATCCATAAAACGTATAAAGGTATTTGCCAGTTATATACAGGTAAGAAAAAAAATAGAATTAAACCATTTTTAAAACAGTATACTTTCCTACAGTGATGTACTCAATGAAAACTGATATTTGTATCTTAGTTCCACAATGACAGTAGAGTCTCGTTTATCCGACTTTCGCTTATCCGATATTCGTATTATCAGACATACCATCACACACAAAAAAATCATCAAGCGGCAAGAAGAACAGAATGTTGTGAACTTGTGAATATAGTCTTTTTTTTTCGGGGGGGGGAGTGCACTCGAGATCTATACTCTGACTAACGTTAATTAAAGTGCAGTGTGTCATTAACCCTTTCCGGCACGCTACCTTTTAAAATGGGAGTTTTGATTAAAAAAAAAAAAAAAAAAAAAAAAAAGGTAGGCAGTCTAATTAGGCCTAGAGGAGTACACAAGAAAAAATTTTGGGAAGATAGCACTTATCCTTTTAATTATGTGGGTGTGCCCAAAGTGGGCACACTGGTTGAATAGAGCTTCGAAAAGAGTGCTGAAACGAGCAGTGTTGTCAATGAAGTGACCGATGAGATGCGGAGAAACAAAGAATACAGACTCTCAGTTATCCTAGATTATCGGTGAGCCCGGTTTGGGCACACCTAGGGTTCGCCATTTGATTTTAGGCAATATTTCAAGGTAAAAATTTAAAACTAATATAGAATAAAGAGATTAGCATACCGCCAAAAAATAACATATAAATTTCTTTTCAAACAATTCCTTTTGTATCCTAAAAAAAATCTGGAAGATTTCTTTGAAAAATGAGGGTCTTAAAAAACTGAACATGGCTAAAATGGGCTGGTTTGTGTTGAGGTGCCATATACTATAAATAAAGAAGGTTCAGAGTAAGCTATAGTAACTTCTAAATCCTTTTTCGTTCAAGCTTTCTGTGCATACAGAAGGAAATTTTAAGGTGTGCAGACCGGACACACTGTGCCGCAAAGGATTAAAGTGCAGTGCATGTGGATCGATTTATCGCCTGTGATAATTCATGGGTCTGCGTATATGTGTAATTTGATAAACACTGCTATGATGTTTAAAAGTGGAAATTTACAAAACACAGAAAGAAAGATGAATTGTTAGAAGATTTCAGTGGCATTGCCAATCGGAGCTAGAGTAAAACTACATTTTAACAGGGAATTTTCAGCACTGTGCAGTTTACTTGAGTAAGGAATTATAATTAATGAAGAACTAATAAAAAATGCAAGTATCTCAAGTAAGCAGAAAAAAAAAAAAAAAAAGACATAAAATTGAGAGACGTTTAAATTGCTTTTTTAGAATGGTTTCAAGCTATAAAAATAAAAAGTGTTTCAATTTCTAAAGCTTTTTTATTAATTCGCGAAACACTAGGAGAGAATTTTCTATCATCCAACAAGTGGTTCTCAAGGGTCTAAGACTTTTCGCTGTCGCCATTTCACAGTGGCCGTTTCGCCGCCAGACATATTTTCCTTTGCATAACTGTATTATATCTTGCCGTATTATGCTCGTATTAACTTTATTTAGTTTAATACAATTCTGTTTACTTTTTGTGTACTTAATACAGGTTGCTTGTAATGTATATAGTTGTTTATGAGATATAAAGAAATTACACGTAGTTAGTTGGAAAATTATGTCAGTATCAAAGAGAACTGGGGCTAAACTTCTGATAAAACAGAAGTTATAATATCGACTTTAAAATTATGTGGGTACAATATTTACATGATTTGACAAAATTTCTTGAAATTTTAATTGACTAGTTCAGAGAAATCACTCTGCAAGCAGGAAATTGACATTTTTAAGAAATCAGAGTTGGAAACGGAATTATTTTGTAATCTTCTAAGCTTGTCAGCACATTACTCTCTTAAAATTAATATTTCATGCGTAATGTTGTATTTGTACAAAATTGCTCAATACGTTTTATATAAAATTCTTATTAAATTAAATTAAATTATTAAACTAAACAGAATTATTAAACTAAATCAACTTAATACAATAGGCAAGATATAACATGATCGTGTAAAGAAAAAGATGTCTTGACGGCGAAACATCCCGGCCAGGGTGAAACGGCCACGGAGAAATGACGACGGTGAAAAGTCCTAGGTTCCTCCCCCCCCCCAGATTTCACAGCAAGTGTCTGTTGGCTTGATCGGTATGTAAATTGTTTGCGGTGAAAAACCATCATAAATGATGAAGAAATAAAAGCATTCACGAACACATTTCCGCAATTAATTGACGTAGATGATTAGATATTTCACTGTGATTAGTCAAGGGTTGATTACAAAATACTATTACCAAGTAAGAGTCTTGCATCCAGAGCCGAAACGGCAGCCCCTGGCAATACGACTAGTTCTTCTACAGCATTACTGCACGCAAATTTGACAATTTTTGTATGAAATAGTGCTGTAGAAAAACGTCAAAAGGGACGCTATTGTGATTATAAAGTCTCAAAATCCTAGAGCCTGTAAAACAGCTTAAAAAATGCTCTTCCCGTAAAATCTTATAGTCGGGAAAGCGATGGATAAGGAGTGTAATTTTTATGGACTGATTCGTTAAGGATTTCATGCCTTCAATAGAGAAGTTTTTAAACAAAAACTTATCTATCCAGGAAAGCTGTTTTGTTGCTAAATAATGCTACAACGCTTCATGATGCAGACGATCTTCCTGTTGCGGACATTGGCAATGTTTTTGCCCCCAATGAGCCGCCGTATGCCAACCTATGAATCAGAAAATGAACTATACCAGGGAGCTACTGTTATTTACGTTTTGTGTAAAGAGTGATAAATACCTTAAGGTAGCTTTAAAATGTCAAAATATCGCAAAAATATAAAACACTAAAAAGCTCAATTTCTTTATAACTAACTGGTATGAGTATGAAAATTTGTATATTTCTTTAAGTGCCCTTAATGACGTAGTTCCTGCTTTTATGATATGTTCCAAATATCAAAATATTTTAAAGCGAATATATTTTTTCTCATTCATATAATATTGCAATATGTACTTATTCAAAATTTTGATGTTTCAAAACAATTTCAAAACATGAAGATACTGCTCTGTTATCAGAATCAGGTGCAGAAATGTATGTATGTATGCATGCATGTTTGGATGGACGGATGTGTTGATGCAGCCATATATGTACCATGTCCACCTTTTGATATTCATGGTAAGCGAATGTTTTGGTGAACAAGCAGAGCGTGACATTGCTTCTTCGGAGTAATCGGAAGAACCAACTCTGGGCTCTCTTCTCTTTCCTACCTTCATGATAATTCTACACTTCAAAAATCACATTTAACTAAATCTTTCGGTAGGAGGGGATTGACAAGTACCCCGTAAAAGTTAATGCGTAAAATTATCATATACTTTGACGTTTCATAGGCTTTTTATCAACACCTCCTATTATCCGACACTTATACGATTATTTAGCTTATCCGACGTTCTGCCTGCCCTTTTACGTCGAATAAACGAGACTCTATTTATTTTTAGTATTTTAATTTTCATTCTAGCAACGCGAAATATTCTACCTTTTCTTTCTTTATTTTTTCCTCTAAATTTAAGGATTTCTTTTTAGAAATAATATTGATAAAAAAAAGTTTTTAAAATTTATATTGATTAAGCAGGTTCAATTAAATTATTATATTTTGCATACTTTTATATAAGTTCCAAAACGATTAAATTAGTGTAAAATTTTGTTGAAAAGGTAATATTTTGGAACCAATTTTGACAATAACTGGGCAAATGTGACCAATTTGTCTGCTATTTTTTGCGTATTTAGTTTAGTATAAGTTATTCAGAACTATATTTCTAATCACATTTGATCTCTTGCTTTTAGGAAAGTTGGCCTGGAAGAATAAAGGGCTTGCATGTCATTAATGAGCCATTATGTGTGCATTATCTTTGTCATTTTCTGCGATCTCTCTTATCTGAAAAATTAAGAGAAAGAGTAAGCGAATTTATTTGTTTATATTGCAGTAACAAAAATATATAACTGAAAAATGCCATATTTTTAGAAATGTTGTATAATATAATAAAATTGTGGTGTCTCCTTAAATTAATTGGCCTCACCCCAATAAATCTTGTTACTTTTTCTTCTTCTTACGAATGTTAAGGGTTCGTGGATTTCGAGTGAATAACAACCGCACTTGATGAAGTATCAGTATCAGTAGAGGGCGCAGCCCGACCCGCCTAACCAAACAAGTTCGTCTCATAGTCATAACAGGCCACGAACATTTCAACAAAGGAAAAAAATGAAACATAAAATATCTAAATGGAAATAATCATGTGTTAATAACAATTATAAACATGAAAGTGAAGAAAAAGAACAAATACAAATGCACTTCATGAAATATCGAAACACACTTTATTGGCCATTATTATTCAAGACAGCTCCAATAACACGTTTACAGTCTCCAAAGAACTGCTATAAACACACTGAAACAATCGGCGACACAGCCTTTAGACGATCAGACTATAACGGTGAAGACAGCTTCACGGCAAAGCACCAGAGTACAGCCCCCGACTCTGTTCGGTCGTTCTCGGAAGTCCTCGTACTCTTGAGACTCTCCACGCTACAACTCGCGATGCTCTCGACGATACAGCTTCCGACTCCTCGGTTTAGTCGTTCCGGAGCTCAACACACTCTAAGATGAAACTCGACGATGCACTAACTCGCGATCACTAAAAGACTCTCTCGATGCACCCGACGATCAACTCGGCACTAGACGACTATCAACTCGCTAGACGAGACACTAACTCCGCGCGGGCTAACTCTCCGCGTACCAGCAGGGTTTATATAGCTTTTGGCTTGTGTTCGAGAACATTCTGGGCTAAGCCCGTAAGAATTCGTCCCAGAAGTTTCTCCATCCATCTATGGCATATCGCCAAATTTGTCGCCAAATGTGGCAACCTTGCCTTCCCATGCCATTTTATGGCAACCCTAACCTGCTTTGCGGGGAAGCTATCGTAACGCGCCTGAACATTTCGTAACAATATCTTTTCTATTCATTTTGTTTGTGCTAAGAAATCATCACTGTTCATTATAATAGCTTAAACTACATAGTTTTAAACTCTAAATTAAATACAGTCTAAAGTCTGAGATCGAAATAGTCAGACCTTCGATTCCTGATTTCGGAAATTTCCGAAATTTAAATCATCAGTTTAAATTTTAGTAAGATAGCATTCAGATATTATAAAATTAGAAATATGAATTATAGTTGTTTACTGAAATTATAGTTACCCCTGAAAAAATATAATGAAGCCACAATTAAAGCTAAATTATAGTTATTTTTATATTTCAGTTTCATGTATACGGTGATGATATAAAATCTCTGCAAAAGTATATTAGTCCAGATGTCCTTCCTGCAGAACTCGGAGGAACTGCCGAGCCGATCAACGATTGTGAATACAAGTCTTACATTCTGAATCAAGAACCTTACTTTGAGAAACTCAATCAATATGGTTTCAGAAGCAATTTTGTAATCGATGAAACTATTTAATATATTGCTTTTAATTCCTTTCCAATATTCCCCATTTTTGTGAATAATTATGTAGCTCAAATTTTGTATAATGTAAAATTTGTATTTTGTAAAATAAATGCTACACAAAAAAGAAACTTATTTGTAGTGATAATTTGATGCCCGTGCAACGACGTTCTTTATGTTCCACAAGCTATTTAAATTTTAATTTGCATTCTGTTCAAATGCTCTAATATACAGAAAAAAAGTACTAGATAATAATACATTAATTTTCCCGAAACATGTGGCTCCCAAGTCGTGAGGAGAGAATTTTTGGTGTGTCGCAAATGACTTGGAAGATTCGCTTTCTCCTAATATTGTTGCGTGTGTACGTGTTCGTAATAAATTGAAAGCACAAGTCCGATGAAAAATGAATAAATTTTTTTTTATCACAACAAATAAAAAAAATGCTTAAATTTCTTCAGATATTCCCACAATATTGCAATATATCGCAGTGGTTATCTTTTAAACTACCAAAACGTTCAACAGAACTAATTCACAATAGTGAAAGCTAATCCGATTCCACCGCGAATTCGCTACAGTAAACAACAACAGTTTTCGAAACAAAACTGAATTGAGATGTTTTGATCCCGCTTTTTATAAGCTTTTTAAATGTGCATGAGAATATTCTGGTATTTTCTCGGTTTTTCCCGAAAAGCAAACGCGTACAATTACAAGATATCTATTTATTAAATGCACTGCTTTGTCCATTGTCAACTGATCTTCACATTCAGCTGCTAAGTACCAACAGGCAGGCCTTCTGCAAATTTATCATAAAGCAGTGATATCTGATTACAAAGATTGTCAATTTAATGGACACACTGTCTGCCCTGGGCATGGGCTTATGTCAGGCAGCGTAAATTCTCCTGCTGTCATAAACGTATGCTCCGTATGGATTATATGCAAATTTGTATCAGCAATATAACAGTCTTACGTCAGCAAAGTATTGTACCAGTATTAATCAGTATTGTGTCAGTATTAATACCAGTAAAGTATTGTATCAGTATTGTAACAATTAAATATTGTATATGCATATTTGTATCAGTAATGTAACAGTCGTATATGAGTAAAGTATTTTATCGGTGTATCAGTATTACTATATCAGTCTTGAATCAGTAGTGTATCAGTCATATTTGCATCAGCAATATACCAGTAATGTGTCGATAATGCATATGTGATGTGTTAATTCGTAATAGCTTGAGACTTTGCAACGTGTTATGCAGTGGTATTACTTACCGATTTGTACAAAATCAGTCCCATTTACAATTAATCAGTATTGTATGAGTATTAAAACCAGTAAAGTATTGTATGAGTTTATCAATAAAGTATTGTACAAGTATTACTAATGTAATCTACTCCAGTAATGTATCTTGAATATTAATCTGTAACTTTGTAACATGTTATTTTGTATAACCTGTCGTGCACGTTGAACACCTTTCAGGTGGCATTATGTATTTTGAAGGGGTGCTATACTGATTAACCGTTTGGTAAAGGGATAGTGCCCCCATCCTCCGTTCTCTCTCCTGTCTTTTTAATTTTCTCTTTAAATAAGCCTCGTGTTCCACTGCACAGTAATATAAAATAATTTTAATTAGTTCTATTTAAAAATATCTAATTCAATACAAAAACTGTAACAATATAAACTGCAATCTTTTTTTTTCTTCAAAATGTCCAAAGAAAAAGCATTTCACTTATTGAACTCGGCTGTTAGATGGTATTTGGGTACTCTCTGTAGACAAACCGTATAATGTGATATCATCCGTGAGTTCGTGTTGTAGCGTAAACGGAGCTAAGGTTTCTGTGGATCATTCGACACGACGCGACATTTTGATTTAAAGAAGGCGCGTGAACAAAGAAGTTTGGTTATCTTTGATCAAAACTAAATCCAACCTATCTTATTTGTCAAATTTATCAATCTTTGAACCCACTGTTCTCTTTTATCAAGACTGCTATGCCTAGGGTAAGGTCCGGGCATAATCGACTTAGACAGCCGCCAAGGGTCCAAGCTAAATTTTTCCGACAAGGCAACAGCTAGATAAAGCTATTGTTAGCATGCTTAATTTACATGCAGCGCCGATGTACTGACCACATAGGCCACTATAAACACTGGATGGTAACGTCTTTACACAATTAATTCAAGCTTTCTGAAAGAATGTGACGGCCAGTCTACAGCTGACGCCAAACGAGAAATGTTACCAGTGCTACCAGCAATGCCAGGAGCGCTGAAGATAGCTTGCGTGTTTCGATAGATGTTACTTCGAAACTGACAAAACAATAGTGCTTCACATTAAAAAAAAAGGCAATTTCCACAAGTGTTTTGAATATAGGAGTATGTATGATGCTTTGATGCTTTTTTTGCGTATTCTGGTTTACAGCGGGAATTAATTTCGCTTTTACCAGAGCTTATCACGGAATCCCACGATGTGCCTCACACATAATGAAATTGGTCCACCATAAAGGTGGGTACCTTAAGATAAAATACAGCCAAAATAAGAAAACAATGAGACGCATTGTCTCTGAAATCTCACTAGCGGGTGAGGATGCGATGATAAAAGACTAGCATTGTCCTATCAGGGGTGTGGCGGCAGTCATGTGACTCCTGCTGAGCTAGTGAAAGTTTTAAAGCCCAAAAGGAGTATGTCTCTACCTGCAGTTATAAATTAATAGAAAATTATTAATTAATTGCACTAATGAACCAATTTAAGCATTTTCTTCCATAAAGACAGACATTTTCTTATTAAACCGATCTTCCTAAACGCGAAAATGATAATAAAATTTTCGTAGCAAGTAATATTTCTGTGTGACAGGTGTGAAGCAATTTCAGACAAAAAATAAAAATAAGAATAAAGTATTCTAATTTTGTAAGCTGTATCTCTAACTAATGCATCTATGAAATTTCATTCATATAATACTTTTATCTAACTCGGAAGTTAGTATAGAGTGCAAAATGTTAATTTTATTATTACCAGCCTCCCGTTTAAACCAAATTTCTGAGTTTAATACTCTTTAATTTATCACATATTTAAGCTTCATTTAATTTCTAAATATCTAACGGAAATGTGGAACTACATTATTAAAAATTGCAGAAACCTTGATGGAATACTTCTGTTTGTTTGTCACTCACAGCTTAAATTCTGAAAAATAAAGTTGTGGAGGGTATGTAGAAGACATTCTATTGGGCATTCTGCGGTAACTGTGCAACAGTTTTGAATCAATTGGCAGTAAACTTCTGCTTTACTGATTCCGAAAAATCCATATACCATTTCAAGATAGGGGTTTCAGGGTCATCCTTCTTTTACTTTTTATGAAAGTTTTTATCTCGTAAGAGTCTTGGAACTTGGGGGCTAATGAATATTTCTTCTTTCAGGACATTAATGTTTGGAATCTGATTTCCGAGGTGGGCAGAAGTCTTGTTCATTCTAAAAGATATTAAAACTTTCATCAGTAAGCTCAATAATATAATTTCTTCACCAAGACATGGACACGGTAAACTACGCAGGTACTTCAAATACGAACTTCTATAAATTGACTGCAATCTCAACCTACTTCCTTGCTACATTTCATATTTCAATAATTACAAATGCCAATAATTGTTTTGATTATTCCTGGTTTCATTGCAACTTTTGCAAGCAGCATTCACTCTGGTTAGGGTACGTGACCGCACACGTGATAGACGTCAGCGAATCAGATACCAGAGGCTTTCCCTCCCATTCCTCTGGGAGGCATTCATTCCTACATTCATGTTTAAAATTGCATACACGCTGTATTAATTTAGTGCAAATGAATATTTCGTTCATTTGCACAACTTCGTAACAATTCAGAGCAGATGCTGTCCCAGGCCTTATATAATTTTCATCCGACCGCCGAGAAATCTCCAAGACTTCTCGAAATTACTGGAGGGAAATTTGATGGCTCTAGGTACCGTTGTTTTATCCCAATGCGAGAAACATACATACATTTATGCAGATTCTTCATTATTTAATTTCTTTAAATATAATACAAAGTGATAAAACTTGGTGGCAACCATTAGGAAAATGATTCAGACTTTTAAAACTTTGGACACAAAATGCCAAAACGAAATTAATAGTCCTTCTGGGCTAACAAAGAAAGTGAGGGGGTGAAAGAGAGAGAGTGTTCCATATCCCTCCCTTTCCATTGTACTGAGCCGGTTTGGTTTATTTAATTATGGCAAAGCACACTAGGGATATCTGCCTAAGGGAAGGGATGCCTTCGTGGTGGACTTTTTAAGGGAAACTGGCTCGTATACACGTTACACATGGGGAAAACCACGAAAACGCCCATGCAGCCAGCCCGTCCGCGGGATTCGAACCTCGGACCGAACTACCAGTGTTCAGTGACTTTACCGCTCGGCCGCTGGTAGGCCTCTCTGCTGAGCCGATTGACGAAACTGAACTTGCGTTTTTCATGTCACGAAAGCGCGACTTAGCATATATATTTGACTTATATGTAACATTGTTCTAACAAAGCTATTTTGACGAAAAATCTGACTCTTTCTGAAATGACGTATTGATTTTTTCTACATTTCGATACTACGAGTCAAATTATGCCAAACTGCTAGGTTTTGTAACAAATCGTAAAATTAAGTATTAAAATAATTTTAGTTCCTCTGTGTCAATTTAATTTGGTATATATTTATTAATAACTCCTTTTTATAAAACTTATTTGATTCTTTCTTTCACGGTTCGAAATTTAGATTTATTCCAAATAAAATTCGCAGTTATTTCCTAATTTAATTTTTAAATTTGTATTTTTAGTATATTTTTTTTAATTTTTTTTTTTTTTTTTTTAATTTTAATTATAACTTGTAACAGTTTTACAAAGTAGATGTATCGAAAACGGACCAATTTGTAACTTCACATATATCTTTGAAATTTCGCATCTTTGTTTTAGCACCAAATGTGTTTTACGTATCTGAAAATAACATCTGTGATTAAGAAGTATAAAATAAAGAAACTTATTAGAAATAATTAAGGATGCAACAGTTTTGCGCTCGTACGCAATGAAAGGGAAAGGAAAGCAAGTTACTAAAAAATTAAGAATTTCGCCCAGTGAATTATTCTTGGCGCAAACTGAAAA